TCCATCTTTTTTGAGACAAGGTTTCCCTTTTCCCTGTTTCAGCTGGCCTGAAATTCACTATGTAGATCAGGCTGGCCTTGAACTCAGAGATCCACTGGCTTCTGCCTCTTGAGTGCTGGCATTAAATGTGTGCACCATCACACCTGGCTAAAACAAGCCTTTTTTGAAAAAAAAAAAAAAAAAAAAAAAAAAAAACTTCTTTCAAGTGTATGTAACATACATAAAGTACACTTTGAATGTGTAGAGTTCAATAAATTTTTTTTTTGGCTCTGTTTTTTCAAATAGTCTCACTACATATAACCCAGGCTGGCTTCAAACTTGTAATTCTCCTGCCTCGGCCTCCTGAGTGCTAGGATTATACATGTATACCACCATGCCTGGCTTGTTTGATAAAACTTGACATGCATATGCACTCAAGAGACGATCTTCAAAACGGGCGAGATGGCTCAGAGGTAAAGGGTCTTGCTGCCAAGCCTGACAACCTGAGTCCCACAGGTGGTGGAAGAGAACTGACTCCTACGAGTTGTCCTCTGACCTCCACACAGATGCTGTGACATATATGCATATATCGTGCCCCACCGCAATAAGTAAATAAAAATTTTTAAATGTAAAAAAATGTAAGATAGTGGCATTTTCTTTACTCCTGTGTATGCCTGTTGCTACGCTCTCCTGTATCACCCCAGGCAACCACAAATTGGCTGTCACTACACATTAAGCTGTAATTGCTAAAATGTTATATACACAGTCTGTAACTTTTTTCCTGGCCTGTTTCACTGTACACAGTTCTTCTGAGATTCTTCTGTGCTTTTGGGTGTGTCTGCTCATTCCTTCTAGGGCTGCATCGATATACAGTGGCTTCTTTAGCCATTGACCTGCTGGTGGCCTTTCTGATCGTTTCTAGTTTTTGCCCATTCTAAGACAGCTCTATAAATGTCAGTGATTTTGTCTTTAAAAAATTTATTATTTTTATTTTATGTGTATGAGTGTATTGCCTGCATGTATATAAGGGTACTGTGTGTATTCAGTGTACAAGGAGGCCAGAAGAGGGCATTGGATCCCCTGGAACTGGAGTTGCAGATGGTTGTTAGCTACCATGTGGGTGTTGGGAACTGAACCCAGGTCCTCAGCAAGAGTAGCCAGTGCTCTAACTGCTGAGCCTCTTCAGCCCCTGCCCCTGTTGTTTTGTTTTGAGGTAAAGTCTTACTGTGTAGTCCAGGCTGGCCTCAAACTCATGATCCTCTGCTTCAGCCTTCTGAGTGCTGGGATTACAAGTGTGTGCTACATGTCTGGCTTAAATTTTTTCCATTTTAATCACACAACAGAATCTGTTTGTGATTTTTAATTAGTGCAGTGTTTTGTTATAATTATTCCAGTTACTATGGAATGATTCATATCTCCTGTAACAATTGTACAGCCTCACTACTAAACAGTAAAAGAAGAGAAGGAATGTAAAAGTTACCACTTCATCCTTGAAGAGTGATTTAGAGTCCCATTTTACTATCTCTGATGTGCCAACTACTTAAAATATATACTATGTCTAAAGACGCAGCACCAGCCTTGTAAAGCAGACTCAGCTCCATTTCCCAAAGGAAGAGACCAAGGCAGAGAGAAGTGAGGGACTGTCACAGGCTCCATAGTTGGAGCAAAGTAGAGATCTGAACTCACTTTCCTCTGTCCCAAAGCTTGGACTCTGGCCCCTTGAATGTTCTATTTTGTAGTTCAGTTATTTCCTCGAAAATAAATACTAAAATCCCCTTGCCCAATAGTGTCCTTTGTTCCAAACATGGAATATAAAATTTAAGTCTTCAAAACAGCTCTACTAGCAAACAGACAGTAGGTCATTTATTTCTAATGTAAATATTGAAGGTCTTGTTGAATAATAAGTGTGTATCCTGACCTGTTCCTGCCATGTTCTGAGCCATGGTCATTGACACCATAGAGCCCACTTCAGAGAAAAATAGAGTTATAGTTGTTGTCGTTATTGTTATTATTATCATTAATATTTATTCTGTGGCGTGATTTCTAGATCAGATACAGCCTTTCATTCAACAAACATTGATTTTTTTTTTTTTTTTCGTCCAGCAGTCATGAGTTGCTGTAATGCCCTGGTCTCTTTTCTGAGCTCCCTTTACTGTACACATACAGACAGCTTCCTCTCTATGTATAATTGGATGGTTTAGCTTTGTGGGTGAAACACTGGCCATCTCAGTCTCTCGATAGTAGAACAGGCTGGTCACTTCATCTGCGCACTGGCTTGCTCAACTTTGGGATGGATGGCAATGTCTGCCCTACTTCATAGGGGTGGTAGTGAGGCTTGATGGAATCATGATGTGCTCCATAAATGAGAGGTGTTGTTCTGCCTGATACACACACGAGGGAACGAAAGCTTTGAGGTAATAAAGTGGCCAAGGGTACACAGGTCATTAGAAGTAGCAGCAAAATTCTTATGTCCATCTTAAAGCATTCAAGTTCCCTGATTGCCTTCCTTGCTCACCTAACCCCTCACCCCTCACTATCCCCATAAGACCATTGAGAAGGTGGCCGAGACTGAGAAAATCAAATAACAGCATTCAAGGCCCAGTCTTGCAGAAGTAGTACTTACATATTAAAAAGCATTTGGAAAATAATGGGAAAAAGGAAAGGAGGTTACTCATAATCCAATCCCAAACACATTGTGGAATGTTTCATTTCATTATATCCTGCCCCTTTAATACAGAGTTCTCTATGTTTTTTATATAGTTTATAATCACTATAAATACTGGACTGTTTCTGTTTTCACTGTGGCGTTTGTACATATTTTCATACTTTTTAGGAACATAATTTCTACATGGGTAGAGGGATTGTCTCAGTTTGCTTACCTGGTCCCATGTAATATATTCATATTATATGCTAATATACATCCATACTAATATATTCATGTCTCTCCCTGTTCTTACTACTGACAAAAACACTGCCAGGCATAATTTCATAGTACTCCTTGTAAAAGATTCCCCTAGAAAAGAATCACTGAGTTGATGGATAAATACTTAGCAAAGTTTTTTTTTTTAAAAGTCTGGTTTACTGAGGGATAATTTATGTAGTGTAAAATCCACTCTTTTTAAGGGTATTCATAAATACTCAGAAGGTGAAAAGTACCAGGCTAAGAATCAGAACATACCAGAACCCTGGAAGCCTCCCTGTGGCCTCTTCTGGTTCTGTCTAGAGGAGCTTGACGGGCTTCTGTGCTTTGACCAGCATGTCAGGGCTTAGCTGTGAGGGAGCTCCAGTATCTAAAATGTGTGGGTCTCTGTGCTGTGCTTCTTTCCCTTCTGTGTTTTTGCTCCTTCCTGGAATGCCCACTTCCTCTTCTGCCTCTTCCCTCATTTCTTCTTTATGTTCCTGGAAGGGTTCTCCTTCAAGGTCTTCCAGAGCAGCTTGAGTCTCATCTAAATTGGGAAGGCCTTCCACCCTCCTCAGCTCCCTGCCCTCTTCCTCCTCTCCTCCCTGGCGTCCATTAACACTGTATTTACCTTCATTAGCACCCTTGTGGCATGTTGTGGCTGCTGTTTTTATTTAAATGGGAGCTCTTTGAAGAGCTGGAACAAACTATTTTGAAGGCCTTCCAAGGGGCCTGGCATACTGTAGGAGATGAGTAGTTGCATATTGTATAAAAGTTATATAATAACTCCCCCTAAGGTGTCACCTTTTCCCATAGGAGGTCTCCTGGCCTTCAGTCTCCTCTAGCTTCTCATTCAACCTTCCTTGTTTTGTTTGTAGCAATTAGCTGACATTATACCTGGTTGTATCCATCACGGTGATGAATGAGAGAAAATGTGCCCCAACTCATCTGCCATCAAGAGAGTGATAGCTCTTCACCTGCGAAGTCTGTGAATTCCACCTCCTAGCTCCATATCAAATGTGTAATGGAGCCAATTTTTGGCAGTGTTTAATCCTTCCTATAGTCATCAGGATGCACTTTCACCACTAGTAAAAAGATGACCATGTATCTCAGTTTCTGTTGCTCTGTATCTGAGTCTCCTGGTTCCCAATGATAATTCCTGAGTGTTTTCTAATAATGTTGGGGCTACATGGCTGGGTATGAAAAGCACAGAGCTCTTCCCTAGCCATAGACTGTATTTAACTGAGCTTCAGTCTGAAGACCTGATAAATTCTATGTAGTGAATCAGGGAGAAAAGAGTTAATCTCTTGGTGCTGAACTGATTTAGTTTAGGATTGGAGTAGTTCACACCTACCAGTTCTTACCAGATTCTCAAAGGACAGAGTCATCTCTTGGTCATTTGAGTGCAGCATTGTGGTGAATGATTCCTATCTAACAGGGTCTGAAATGTTCACTTAACCATCATCTTATACAGTCCTAGTCAGAGGATACGATGAGGTAGTTGGTGTGGGTTCAAGCTTGTTCTGGTGGAGCTGAAATGGAAGTGTTGAAAGGTGTAGCCCTCAGATGCAATTGAGGCACAGGAAGAGGATGATGGCTGGAGTGGGGGGTCCAGGCTCATGGGCCTGTATGGGCAGAGGCTTGGAGATTTCTCTTTCTATCCAGGCCTCCCCATTTTAGGCTGGGTCTCTTCTGCACCTCTGTAGAAACCACCTCACTCGGGCTGGAGAGACAGCTCAGTGGTTAAGAACACTGACTATTCTTGCAGAAGACCCGGGTTCAAATCACAGCACCCACATGGCAGCTAACAACTGTCCGTAACTCCAGTTCCAGGGGATCCCAACAGTCTCTTCTCTCCTCTGTGGGCATTGCATGACACGGGTGTATGTACCTACATGCTGGCAATACATGCATACACATAAAATAAAAATAATAAATAAAATATTTAAAAAAAAAAAGAAACCACCTCACTCCCCATATTAAAGAAAGGGGCCACAGTGCTGTGGGAAGGACATGTCTGTAATTCAGACCTAGAGACTTAGAGCCGGCTGGTGTCTTCTGTGATGCCTCAGGGCAGGCTCGGGTAGGAAGGCTGTAACACCCTCCGCTTTTTGTCTTTCAGGAAAAGATTGGCTGGCGAAAGGATGCACTGCACCTGCTGGTTTTCACCACAGATGATGTACCCCACATTGCCCTGGATGGAAAGCTAGGGGGCCTGGTGCAGCCCCACGATGGCCAGTGCCACCTGAATGAAGCCAATGAATACATCGCATCTGACCAAATGGTAAGGTCTGGGAGGGCTCTGGATGCCTCTCCTTGGGACCCTATGGCCAGTCCTACCAGCCTTTGAAACCCTAGCCCACAGTACGTGCTGATGTTCTGATCCATTCTGGTTTGAGTTTCATTCATTATTATATCTTCTCAGACTGGGTTTTCAGAACTTCTTGTTAATTTAGAACACTTCTCAGGGATTTCTGTAGCTGGTTCATCTTTGCACCATGGTATAACTAAATAGGGGAGGTTTTATTAGAGGAAGAGGTGACATGGGAGCCAAGTGGTTCTCATGGGGCGGTGATCTTAAGGGAGGGTGAGACCTGTTTTCCTAAAGAGGTCACAACTGGGATAGAAGTTATAGGGCAACACTTCTTGACCTCTACAAATGGGCTCCTTGAGACAGTGAATGCCCTGTAGGTAACAGAAGTGGGTGCCTATTGTGCATGGAATGGGAAACATACCTGACAAACAGCGCCAACAGTTACCAAGGTCTTGCCACATTTACCATGCAAACATTTTTGGAAATGTATACATTCTTCTTTCCCGAATCCGTTTTGGTATTTGGCCAGAGAGGAGTGCTTCCCAGTTTTCTTTTCAGGACAAGCAAAGAAAACTTTAACTTTAAGAGGTGAATATCTAAGCCTTTCAAATTACCCAGGAATGAGGAAGTCTGAAGAAAGGACTTCTAGGACCTGACCTGATGGTGACCCCTCATTAGGAGTCCTTTAAATAGTTAAAGACCTTGTTAAACTACCCCTTGACCTTCCTTTCCCCTTGCTTGGATCCCTTCCTACCACAATAGCCCATCGTGGTCCAGAGAGCAGCAGGCTTCTCTGACTGTTCTGAGCCATGAGCAGGACCTGCCATAAACATTGGTGGCTGGACTGTTAGGTGCAGGAAAAAGAGAACAGGGCAAGAGCAGACAGGGAAGAGAGGAAGGCTAGCAGGTGCTGATGGCAGATAGTAGGATGTGTGCTATTCTTCTGGAGCCCTTACTTTCTCCATCCCTGCTGAAAGGATGGAGATAACAGACCGTGCCTGGAGATGCCCCAGTCCTCACCCCCACACTTCTAGGGTTTTTGGTGAGCACCTAAGGACCCTTTTCATGAGGATCTCCTCCTATAGCCTGTCAGCCCAGGAGCTTTTTGTGACAAGTGCTACGGGTGTGCTGGAGCACAAGCTGGTGTCACAGCTGGTTGGAAGTGTTACACCCATGACTTTTGCCTTGACCTTAGGACTATCCATCCCTTGCCTTGCTTGGAGAGAAGTTGGCAGAGAACAATATCAACCTCATCTTTGCAGTTACGAAAAACCACTATATGCTCTACAAGGTATGCTTGGTGGGAAAGAGGGGGCTGGCAGCCTGATCTGGGGCTCATTCTGACCCTAACGCCAGTTGGAGATTAGAATGGGGTAGGGAGTGTTCATGGCCCTGCTCTGTATAGGGGGCAGTCACAGGAGGGGAGGAATATAACTCTGTCTGACTGGACTTGGAAATAAGAGCACTAGGGAAACTCTTGAACATTCATACAGCCATGACTGTTTTCACTAGGAGTTTAAACTTACAGTATCTAATTTGATTCAGAGGAAAACCTTGAAAATAGTATGAATTACCATTTTCAGAAGATGAAATGGAAACACACAGGGGACTATTCCAATAGAGAAGGAAAATATAAGGAAATGGACATTGAGGCAGCCTGCATGGCCAACCCCGTACTCCAGTTGTATGCCTTCCTGCAGAGGGCAGGAGGCCAGGAGTGGCCTGGTACAGAGGTTCACCCCCAAAAGAGTCAGCTAAATGAAGAGAGCAGTGTATACCAGGTTGTCCCATGGGCCTCTGCTCTATAATCACAAGTGAGCTGCATGTTGAATGCAAAACTTCCTTAGGTTGGCTGGAGAAATGCTTCAGTGGTTAAAAACACTTGCTGCTCTTGCAGAGGACCTGAGTTTGGTTCTCAGTACTCATGTCTGGAGGCTCACAACCACCTGTAACTCCAGGGAATTTGGCACCCTCTTCTGGCCTCTGCAGGCACTGTATTTATATGTGTACATATACACATAAATAAATAAGAAAATAAATCTTTAAAAAAAACCCACAAACCTCCTTAGAGAATGATAGGGGAAGACACTCGGAATCAAAGAACTGTTGTCTGGTTGTGTCTTGAAGGCGTCTGCCTGAGATTATCATTGGTGAAAAAGCCGCCTGGGTCTTCCTGAGTTCTTGGTCTTCTTTGAGCTTGAGTCTTTTTTAGATGATGAAATGGAAAGACATTTATCATCTTGTTTGGTGGGGGTTTACAGGTTAAAACCTGTCCACTACAAAATGCATTTTTAGAAGAATTAATTGCACGTACTATATTGGGCTTTGAGATGTTTCTTGAGAGAAGAAACCCTACTTGGCTTCAGTCCTTCCTCAGAGTGAGGAGACCTGTGAAAGCTAACGGCAGTGGATAGTCTGTCTCATTGTAAGAGCAGCACGCAGGAACTGTGCTGATGGAAAGGGCAAGCTACTGGCTTCATCCCAGGACCTTACTTGTGTACATAGGTCCTGGGGAAGGCATCCTTTATATCTTAGCTCCCTACTGAGAGCAGGGGAAAGTGGCCCTTTGTACTCCTTAAGAGCAGAAGCTGGGCCTGGGATTACCTGTGTAGAGCAGGAGTGATGGCTAGAGAATCCTACCGGGCAAGGTGACCTTAGAGGATGGATAGAAGGGAGGAGTCTCCAAGACTGCTCAGTCACTGTCAGCCCCTCCCTCCTTCCACAGCCCACTGTAGCTACTCTTCCTCACACCCGGTCTTGCCTCTCAAGCATGTGGTGTGGTGAGTGGTGGAGCATTGTACTGGCCCTTGCCTCTTATCCACAGAGCATCGTTCACTCTGATAGGATAGAAGCAAAATGGTCTGACTTTTTTTTCTTTTTTTTTCCAAGAATTTTACAGCCTTGATACCTGGAACCACAGTGGAGATTTTGCATGGAGACTCCAAAAATATTATTCAACTGATTATCAATGCATACAGTGTAAGTCACCTACCTCCTCCATCCCAACCCATCCCACCGAGCCCTGGGAGTTGATGTGGGTTAGGGTAGGGGCTTAGCTTTGTTCCCAGCCCTTCAACTGGGGGAACCCTAGTACTTGGAGTCAGACCAGTCCTGCGCTTAGACTCTTGTGCCTCCATGTCCTAAAGATAAGGAATTGGGCAGCAGGGAGGATTTCTGGGTAGCTGCCCCTCATGTCCCCCCTCATTTTCTGCTGTAATTTGGTCTCCTCACAAACCATGCCTTACCTTTTCTTTCCTGGAACTTTCTGCTGAAATCAAAGACTTCTCTCATGTCTTCCTGAACAGTATTGTCTTCTTTTTATCTCTGACCTTTAATTCCTCACCACACCTAGTGGCTCCTCAGAGACCAGGGCCAGTGAGACAAGGTTTCCAAATTAACTTGTACTTTAGTGGTTTTCAAACTCCAGAGTGAATTTCCTATTTGGCAAGAGGACTGTTATATCCAGTTATGTGGGCACAGCAGGTGCCGAAATAATAGCGAGAGGACGGGGACTGCCAGCCTCTCTTTCCCTGGACTGCTCCTCACTGTGAGCCTGTTGGGTCTCAAGCTCTGGATCCTGAACTAAAGGAATCAAAATAAGTCAGACCCCCTGCCCAGTGCATTCCTCCCTTCCCACTGAAGCTGTCAGAGCCTGGAGATCCCACAGGGCAGAGGGGTTACTGCTGTGGTCTTACTCTTATGAGCTGGTGACCATAGCTTGTCTCCTAATGAGTCAAGGCCATTTGGGGAAGCCATGATTGAAGAGTGGTCTGGCCTGGGCTCTGTGGGATGGTGTGAGGACATCCTTCTGGGTTTCTGTGAAGGAGCCACTTCCCTGCATTTCCATGCTCAACTAGTTCCTGGTTCAGAGTGTAAACTCCTGGGGGTTTTATCAGCATTTTCTGGTAAAGGCCTGGCTCTCTGTTCCTGTGGCTTTGATAAAGAGGGCATACTAGCCAGGTGATGGATGGTACATGCCTGTGATCTCAGCACTTGAGAGCTAGGCAGGATGATTGTGAGTTCAAGGCCAGCCTAGACTAAACAGCAAGACCTTGTCTTATGGGGTCTCTCCCTCCCCTCTTGGGTCGTTGGCCACCGATCCACGAGAACAAAGGGGGCAGAAGCGACAAACGGGGTCAGGATGGCCAGTGAGCACTGACAGAAGAAAGCCCTTCCGGGGAGGCAGATTCAGTGATACAACTCCAGACTCAGTAAAACAGCTCCAGATTCAGCGAAACAGCTCCGTTTATTCAGTGGGGGTTAGGGAAAATATAGTATGGAGGCAGTAGCCAATGCTTCAGCTGATAGGTGTTCATAGTATGCTCTATTTACAAGTGGTAGCAGCATCCTATCATCTGACTATGGGGCAATGCCTAATTATCATATAGAAAAAACCTGGGGGTAGTTTTTACTCCAGGTAACTATACCAAAGGTCATGTTCCAAATAAGGTCAGGCATCTGTGCTTGGTGGCACTTCCCAGGTAAATCAGGCAGAGAGCAGGAGGCCCCCCACTGAGAAAGGGAGCCCTTCCATATAGCGCCGAGCCCCTTAGAGCTATCCGGACATGGAGGACTATAACCCTAGCAGCAGAGTCCCCCAACATTGTGTAAAAACTAAATTAATGAAATAAACAAAAAGGAGACAGGCAGTGTTGCTCAGTGGTAGAGTACTTGCCTAGCATGAGTGAGCTCCCTGGTTCTATCCCAAATACATACAATGAAAAAGGTGTAAAATTCTTTTTTAAAAAAAGGGGGCTGGAGAGATGGCTCAGCAGTTAAGAACACTGACTGTTCTTGCAGAGGACCCAGGTTCAAATCCTATCATCCACATGGCAGCTAACAACTGTCTATAACTCCAGTTCCAGGGGATCTGACAGCCTCTTCTGTCCTCCTTGGGCATTGCACAACATGGGTGCACTTACCTGCATGCAGGCAATACATGCATACATATAAAATGAAAATAATAAATAAAAAATATTTTAAAAAAGCAAAAGGTGTGACGCTGTGTAGCTCTGTAGAACCCATCAGTATTCCATGTGGCTGAGTGTTCCGGATGCCCGTGCTCCTGAATGGGACCAGTCAAACGTGATGGGATCTCCTAAATGCTTAGGGGTGTTCTTTCTGAGGTATGTAGCATTGGCCTGGATCAGGAGTTGTACATAGGAAGTTGTTTTCTTAAAGGAAATCCAGGAATTTGGGGGTCTAGGAGCAAGGAGAGCAATGGGAAGCCCACTTTGCCCCTGAGAAATTGGGATTGGGGATGATTGGGAAAAATGATCTTTCCAGGTCAGAGATGCAGTTGGAACTGGACTGGATCCCCCTTCCCTGAGAAACAGTGGGTCCCTTGTATCAGTGCTTGCCTTCCTAAATTACACTGGCTCCTGCAGGAAACAGTATAGTTTGATGTTTTGGTACATGCACACCTGTGAAAGTATCCCTTCATCAATGCGTTGAATATGCCCATCCCTTCCCAAGTTGTGAACCTCAGCAGTTCCCTACACTTCACTCTTTGGTCAACATTATAAATGAGATTAAATACAGAAATGTGAAACTGACGGGTATTTGCAGCAAAGTCTAGTTGGTTGCAGCCGTGCTGTGAATATGCTGGTCCTCTTGTCAGTTGGGACCTGTGGTACTGTGAAAAGGAAGTGTGTACTAATCTCCACCTCTGGTTCCCGACACAGAACCCTGAAATCCCTGTACATTAGGAGCACTGGGGGACTCCCCTGTCCTGACTTTTGGTCTTTGTTCTGGTTCTGAAGCTTCTCAGATCTCTCATTTCCTGAGTGATAGCCTCTTTTGCTTAAATGAGATGACTCTTGGTGACTTCCTGGATAACTTTTGTGTGAGACAAATCACTAGTAAGACCAAGGCATGACAAGGGGGCTGAAACTTTCAGTATCGCTCTTGACCTCCCAGGAGGAGAGCTGACAAAGGTTGAATTGACCACCAATAGCCAGTAAGTTCATCAGTCTTGCCCATATAAAACCACCACTAAAAATTCAAAAGTTCTGGGTGCAGAGAGCTGGATTGCTGAATACGTGCGGGTGTGTGGGGATGTACCAGGAAGGGCATCAGAGTTTCGCACTACTCCTGCGTAAATTGCTTCGTGCATCTCTTCCATCTGGCTGTTGATCTCTACCGTTTATTATAGCCTTTATTAATATACCAGTAGATATAAATAAGGTATTGCCTGCCCTGCTTTTTTTTTCTTTAGAGCATCCTAGCAAAGTCATTGAACCCAAAGAGGGCATGATAGGAACTGCAATTTCTAGCTGGTCATAAAGGTGAGTGATAATCTACCAGACTGGCAACTGGCATCAGAAGGACGGCTGTGATCCTCTGTGACTGAGTCCTCAACCAATAGGATCTGACATTATCTCTACATAGACAGTATCAGAATAAGGTCGGATTAGAGGATGTCCAGGTACTTTTCCATGGACAGCTGCTTTGTGGAGGGGCAAGGGGAAGGAAGATTCCCACCCACCCCTCTGATGTCAACACTGTATGTTGAGTAGTGTGTAAGATTACCCATCTTCCTACTGCGGCCTCTCTGGCCAATGGGAAGCCTGCGGGGCTTCAGCTCCTTGTGCTTTTTCTGGCTTTGAGCCTACACAGATCTCTTACAGAGGTGAGTGCTGGGCAGCAGGAGAGGCTCTCAGCAGCTTTGGCTAGCCTTCCCTTTACACACCACCAGGGTCCAGTTGTGGTTCTGCCTGCTGGTTGCATTTCCGGTGTTACCTTGGTTTGTGGTGGATTTCTTAAGTCAGACAACATATGATGGTATGTGGGTGCTGACTTTTGTTTCCCTGGATGCTGGCAGTCAATCTCTGGGGACATTGTGGAAGATTCTTGTCAGAGCATATGCAACAGATGAAATGGCTGTGGTCTTTGGCCCAGTCTCAGAAGGAAGAGAGCAAATGTGAAGGCACTGTTTAATGTGACATCTGGTGGAATCAGTCTGTTTTGTGTGTGTCTTTTGTAATGTGGAATTGTCAGCTCTTGGATTTACACCCTTTTTCTAACTGTGCTAAATTCTTCAGTGTGAAAAGTTACTCTGCCCAAGGCTGTTTGGCAGTGTGGAATCTTTTGCACAGATTAATGCTGTGGGAGATTCTCTTCCAGAGCTCAGCCCTGCATCGTGCCATGCTTATGAAGAGAGGGAGATACTCACAGGCAGACAGAAATCACAGAACAGGATGAGCTGCAACATTCTAGCATAGTATGTGGAGGGTGACCTCAAAGCCCATGGTGTATTTTACCCTAGAAGAGCACATGTTTCTCTTTTGGTTGTTGCCATAAAGTCTGCTCCACAGCCTCTCTTCCCCCACAGCTGGCCTGACTTAAAGCACTTGCAGATGTGACCTAACCTGACATCGGGTATGTAATAGAATAGCATTTAAACGTCTGACATTTCTTGACATTGTCTCCTTTTCTAGCATGGGGAGTAAGAAATCATCTTCAGAGGCAAACCTGGTAGCAATTCAGTGAATTTCAGGAGTGGAGTCACACGTGAACCTCTTCATTCATAAGAATTGATTCCTGTGCCTTTGATCTTTTGCTGTGTCTTGTACTTCATTCATTTTGACAACAAATGCATTGTAATGGGCTAATGGTGTCTGGCGTCTATGACACATGGCAGCAGGATATTGAAACCCAGTCCTGACTTCTCAGAGTCCTTGGTGTTTGGAGGAAACTGACCCTTACAGCCATGGGACAACTTGGTGATTCACATTTTGCAAAGTCAGTGGGTCCTTAAGAAAGAAGCCTTTGGGTGTAGGATTAGAATGTGCTCTGGAGGGGAGGGTGAGGGCCTGCTTCTGCTCCTGCCTGCCTTAGCAGTGGAGATTTGGCTTCCACTGAATCTTTAGGATTCCTGCCACTTGAAACATGGGAAGAGTTTCTGATTCCAGAGACTCTGTGGCAAGCAGAGGGAGCACAGGCTTAGGGCCTTCCAGCCTGAACAGAACATAGGCTTCCATTTCTGCCATGCAGTTATAGGTCTCTAGCCCTAGTGCTCTCTCTCTGCCACACCCCTCACTGACCCTACTAAGTGGCAGGTTGGAGGGTCTTGATGGTCAAGTATTGATGCTTGCCTCTCCCCATATATCTTTTGGGGTTTTTCTTAAGATTTCTATTTATGTGCATGTGTATACATCTTCCTGTGTATATGTACATGTATGTGCGGTATCAGCAGAAGACAGAGAGGGCTCTGGATCCCCTGGAACTCAAGTTATAGGCAGTGTGTGTGTGTGTGTATGTGTGTGTGTGTGTGTTGTTGTATGTATGTATGATATGTGAGCTGTCCAGGATGTGAGCTGGGACCCAAACTCCAGTCCTCATCAAGCACTGAGCCATCTCTCCAGCCCTTCTTCCCATATATTTCAACTGACTATTCTCAAATAAATTTTTTAAACAGCTGAAATCTACTGAATTTTATTATTATATATTGCCTTAGCTCATTTCATACTTCTTTATAAATGTGTATGTGTGTGTAATATTTACCTTTTCTTAAAATAATTAATCTTCCTCTCTTTAGCCCAAGCCCCTTAGTGTAACCACAATTAAAAGCATCCATCTTTCCATCCATTCATCAAACAAGGGCTTGTGCTAAGTCCCAGAGAGATATGTGATATGATTGTGGAGTTCACGACACAGCGGGGAGACAGATCTGTAAATACAAATCACATTCAGTAGGAATGTGCTGTGTGTGATAAGTGGCACTTTTGTGACCTTTGGCCAGTAAAGGCTGACGCTCTCCAGAGGAAGTGGGCTTAAGAGGGATGGTATTTTTAGAGTGGTAGAAGTGCTTAGACACTGTTACAAAGAGAGAGACTATTTTTTGCAGCATATTTTCAATAAGCTGTTAATTTGGAAAACTGCATATTTCACTTATTCAAGTTTAGCAGCACATGCTCAGCAGAGAGAGAGAGAGAGGCACTTTGGTCCACTGTTTTGCTCACAGCCATGCTGTCATGGAGCAGCTTGATTCCGTGGGTCTTCTCGGGGTATGTATGTCCTGCAGCACTAAATTCAAGCCAGTGACTTGATTTGGCTTTAGTTTCTAAAGCAATGAGATTATTAAGGCAAATTGTGTGGAGATGTGTGTGTGTGTGTGTGTGTGTGTGTGTGTGTGTGTGTGTGTGTATGTGTGTGTGTGTGTCTATGTATGATATACATGTATGTTAGATACTCAGGTATATTAGTTAAGGGCAGTTTTTAAAAACCAAGAGGCATATAAAAAACACTGTTCAAACTTTTTATAAACTAAATACACCTAAGTATCTAACATCCAGGTGAAAACACTGATCAAAGCTCAGCTTGTTGGCTTATGCCTGTAATGTTGTCACTTGGGAGCCTGAGCAGGAGGATTACAGAGTTCAAGGCCAACATGGGCTACATAACAAGATTCTGTCTCAAAAACAAAAACAGCCTCCTCACATACAAAAAATACAGCCACAAAACCACATTGCCAGCACTGGTAATTCTCTCTTAAGGAGTCTTCCGTCACTATCCCCCCAGGGTAACCATGAGTTTTTCCTATTTTTGAATTTCACATACAATCATTCATCACTTAATGACACGGATGCATTATGAGAAATATGTCCTCAGGCAGTTTCATCACTGTGCACACAGAGTACACAGTATTTATAGAGATGGTGTGACATTTACTTTCCTCAGCTGTCTGGTGTTGTCTTTGTTCCTAGGCTACAAACTTGTATTGTAACACAATGGTGGGCATTTGTGTGTCTCAGCATATAGACATTATGATAAAAGTACTGAGTGATAGGAAATGTTGAGCTCTTACCTTATGCCACCATTGTATTTATTATCTACTGTGGATCAAAAATATTTTTCTTAAGAGTTTATTATTTTTTAATGTATGTATGTCTACTTGCTGAGTTTATGTACATCGTGTATGTGCAGGTGCCCATGGAGACCAGAGGCTGTTGGATCCTCTGGAGCTGGAATTGCATGTGGTTGTGAGCTACCTGGTATGGGTGGTGAGAACTGAACATGGGCCCTCTGGAAGAGCAGTAAGTGCTCTTCTACCAAAAAGTCTTTTTAAGAGAATAAATACAGCTCCACATGGTGGTGCACACCTTTAATGTGTCTCAGGAGGCAGAGACACATTATTTATTTATTTATTCATTTAATAAATGAGTGTTATGCTTGCATGTATGTAAGCGCATCTGTGTCATACAGTGCCTGCAGAGGCCAGAAGAGAGAGTCGGATCCCCTAGAACTGGAGTTATGGACAGTTGTTAGCCACCATGTGGGTACTGGGATTTGAACCCAGGTCCTCCGCAAGAGCAGCTAGTGCTCTTAACTGCTGAGCCATCTCTCCAGCTCCTGTCTAACTTCTTTTGAGTGACATTATATTCATCAGTGACATTACAGTCAACACAGCTATATTTTTGTTTATTGTCAGTGCTGTGAGGTATTCTGCTATGTGGACATACCAGCTCATTTGAAATCTGGTCTACTATCAATAGGCTTTTGGTTGGGACCCAGAATCTAGCTCTTGCAAACTGTGCTGCTGTAGACATTCTTGCCCATGTCTTTGTGACACACACATTCTATTGCGTCTGATCTCAGGTGAGCTAGGACCACTTTTGGTCTGAGTTTTAGAAGGTATTGGCTGCTGCTTTTCCACAGGCCCATACTGACTTCCACTCCAGCCAGCAGTGTGTGAGGGCCCCAGTTGCTCCACATCCCTTCCAATGCATGCTACTTTCAGTCTTTCTTTTTTTTTTCTGTTCTGACATATAATTTTGACTTGTTTCATTCAATGTCTTTAGAACCTAGTCCACACAGAAGAGTGGATTCTCTCATAATGTCATTTCAAACTCACAAATGAGGACCTCAGCTGATAAGGGGATAGGCTTGAGTATAAAGAAAGGGGGAGTGAATCCTGGAGAATGTGCCTGCTGAACTGGTTTTGTAAGGAGCTAGCCAAGGGGAAGACAAGGGAAGAGCCACCGGGCAAAGGGATGTTGTCCTGGGTGTGCCTGCATGCATGAATATGTACATGTGTACACCCAAAACCCTGAGAGCATGTGGCCAGACTTCAGGAGCTGTATGCCTGATGCTGAGGATGGGGATGAGAGGTGGCTCTAGAGAGGCAAGCAGGAGACAGGGCAAGACCCTGAGGGAGATAGCATTACTTGGCAGATGGAGCATTGGCAACCATTCTAGAAGGGACCTCAAGCCCAAGATGGTGTGTAGGTGTCGGGGAAAGGAATGAGAGAGGGCAGGGCCCGAAGCCTGCTGTCGCTTCCTTGGCTTGAGCCTCCTGAGTTAGAAGAAACCATGTGGATATCAGCAAACTAGTGCGGAGAGCATCTTACTACAGCCTTAACTAAGTACTGTGGGCTTCATTTTCTCCTGTGTTCAGAGCATCCGGTCTAAGGTGGAACTGTCAGTCTGGGATCAACCTGAGGATCTTAATCTCTTCTTCACTGCTACTTGCCAAGATGGTGTATCCTACCCTGGTCAGAGGAAGTGTGAGGGTCTGAAGATTGGGGAAACGGTAAGTGCTCACCCCTAGTTTGTATGAGTTCTTGTTAGCCTGCGTCCTTAGGCTTTAATTCTCATAACTTTTATGCCTTACTAGCATCCTCTAGGAGTTTGTGTTCTGCCCTGTAGCTCATCCTTCCAAACTACTATGCATTTTGTGTGTTCAAAGTTCCATGTGGTCTGGTTACAGAGCTCCAGTCCACAGACCCCTCCATGTACTGCACCTAAGGCTTCCTGGTTGACACTGTGCCCTTGGTGTTTCAGCCATTAATGTCTTAGTTTGACAGAGATGCAATCAGGTGGAAGAGTACAGACAGGAATTTAGGAGACCTGGCTTTCCTCCCTGGACTTCTGCAATTTCCTCTGTATCTCACATAATCTGACCTCCCACTTTTCCTTTCTGAAAAAGATGAAGATAAAGACAGTCATCTACCTGTTTTGATTTGATGAGATGAAATGGATAACTTGTGGCCACAAAGGGAACAGATGCCCACCAGACAATGGGTATAAATGATGTATGTAAAAATATATAGTCATAAGCTGGGCACAGTGGCACATGCCTATAATCCTGACAGGAATTGAAATGCTAAAGCAGGAATACTGCTTTCAAGTATAACCTGATCTACTTGGGGGAGAATCTGTCTTTAAAAAAAAAAAAAAGTGTAGCTGATGCTAAGCCAAAGATTGAGGAATGAGAGCAGGAATGAGTTTTTATGGATAGTGAGAGCACACAGGTGCCCATGTTGACACAGAGGCCACAGATGGTGATGGAGGATTGTCCACATACTTGCTAGAGGTCTGCTGTTAGAAACAGACTATACCAGAGGACATTCCTAGTATGCTTTGATGGCCATTCCAGTGTTCAGAAAATAGACTGAGGGAAGGCTCTCTTTCATACTGAAAAGTATCTGGTTAGAAACAACTTTATCGTCTGGGCACTAAGGGCCAATGTGGGGATAAGTTGACTTTACCCCTGGCTCAAGGAGACACGGGAATAGGTGCCTGACTGCTTAGACCTAGCAGGGACCTTCTGGGATCGTCTCTCCTCCCAGCCCACTTCTTATAGTGGCCCTTCACCCACTTCATACCACACAGGTAAACTTCCCACCCATTCCAAATCCCACTGTGGTGCCTTGTCACCAAACAAGTTCAAAATATGGTATGGAAGGTGGGCAAACAGAGAACTCTAATGACTGGGAAATAAAATCCTTTGCTGAGACAGATTTTCCAAGTATATTTTGCTTTTAACAACTAGAAAAAGTCAAGTTGTCAGGTAAGCCATTACAAATGATTGTTTATGTCACTTAACTCAGAAGGGATTCAAAGAACATATGATGAGACTGTAACAGACTCCCATTCCATCTTCCTATTTATGCAAAGAAATTTTTGTGTTTAAATCTCTACAGAAAAAATAGAAATGTGATTAGTGATAATCCCTGTCTTGTTTAGCAGTAATATTAGTGCACATAAATTTCAGGTGTTTCTTTTCCCAATAGACAATTTAAATAAAACTGAATTTAATAACTATTAAAAGTTGTATTATATTGTTTGGATCAATTATAATGGTTGCTTAATCAAGGTGAACTAAAAACAAAACCAGCCACCTTTAATCCCAGCATTCAGAAGGCAAAGGCAGGTGGATCTCTGTGAGTTTGAGGCCAGCCTGGTCTACGTAGTGAGTTCTAGGCAAGTCAGGGCTACAGAGTGAGATTCTGAATCAAAGAAAAGAAACAAGCCTTGAAGTTAAGAAGTTTAAAGAGACAGTGGGGCCAATGAGGTGACTCAGTGGTTAAAGGCATTTGTTGCCAAAGCCTGACAGTAACTTGAGTCCAATCCCCAGAACCCATGGTGGAAGGAAGGAACCGACACCCACAAGTTGTCCTTGAACCTCTACACATGTGCTGTGGTGTGAGTGCACCCCCTCAAATAATAAATAAGTGCAAAAACAAAACAGACATTCGTGAAAATGGCAGGAGGCAGGCGGCAATAACCAGAAGAACATGTGGATTGTGTGGATCTGTGAGGGAACAAGCAGCACACTGTGTAGATTTGTGACGGGATGAGTGGTGCGCTGTGTCAGGAAAGCTGAAGAAAGACACATGAGCACATCACAAAGAGCCCTGCTTGAGAAATGGTTACACAGCAAAGAGCTGGGACGGGGTCAGTGCCTAAGCAAGGACACGCTATACACACAAGGTGCCCTGGTTTCAGGAAGGCTCTTGACGGACTCTAATGACATCCTAAGAATAAGACAAACAATGTGGGTTGGTGACAGCAGTCAGGCAGATTTGTAGCTCAGTAAACATGCTTTCTACAAGGGAGGGCTTGGCCGCAGGTCAGACTCCTCTTGTCTGCTTGTGCTTACTTACCATGGGTTTGTGTCGAACTCCTGGAAGGCCACAGTACTGGAGAAAACAACTTATCCTATGAAACAGGGAAAACTAAGATTTAAAAATATTTTTAAATACTTTAGACATTTTTGGCCTTTGGAACATAGTACGTTGCTAAGAGGCCCAAGGACATTTTGACTTTTAGCCAAGAAACTGGCTACTTTTCTTTGGGGTCTTTTTTACCCTAACTGCCTAGCCAATTCCTACTTCCTATTCTTATCATGCCATCTTCTGAAGAGGTTACCCAAATTGCTGATAGGGAATCGGGACGCAGGCCGCTCTAGCTTCTTCCATGCTGAACAGGGATGCAGGGTGAGGCAATTGGGGTACCCCTTTAGTGGGTCTATCTAAAAGACTCCCAACTTGCATAACTCTTATCTGTAGGGTGAAAAGAAAGGCCTTGACTAGTGAATAGGGGATGTGAAGGAGAAGTAAAGGCAAGAGTAGTTAGCATTACAAGTTCTAGACAGGGAACCAGAAGAAAGTCAGAACAGGGCAAATTTCAAATGTTCACAAAAGTATTTGGGAGCTC